GTATAGAGCTAATTATCTTGGAGCTAATGAGTCGTCTGGGAGTGTGTGTGCCCAGACTAAAGCTCTCACCTGGCAGATATGCCCCTAGACCTCTTCATCTTCCTAATTTAAAACTGCTGGAAGAGTGTTAAAAGGCAGAGGAGGGTCGGTAAAGTATCCTCCGGACTGAGAAGTCACTTTAAGAGGGAAAAACGAAGCAAGCCACTCCCTACCGTTTCCACAACTTAATTCAGGATAACTTACTGATGGGCCAGCAGAACCTTCAGCCGCAGCTTTTACAGAGCAAGGGGCATGGTGGTGAGGTCACAGGGTAGTTATCTAAAGTGGGGCCCTCTGTGTGCGCGCCTTCTCTACTGGTTAGCTAACATAGGGCCTTCGTGCACCACTTTATAAAGATCAGAAGAAGCCCTCCTGCATTCCCATGTGGGCGTACATTAACCTCCTTGGGGCCTAGAACACGTAGCCCCGAGGGAGGTCATTGTGCAGACACAAAAAAGATGGAGTCCTTGTCCGCACGCCTACCGAGAGGAACGCCTTCTGAGGTTAGTGGGTTCAGGAGGCAGCCTAACCTTGGTTCTAGTCCCAACCTTGTCCTTCGGTAAATGTGAGAGCCTGGGAACTTTCTAGAACATGCTGTGTCTGTTTCATCTTCTGAAAATGGGGTAATTGCTGGCCTTTCCCCATTGGGTCATTGCCAGGAGTGAGGGGATGCCTGCAAAACTCTGAACGTGGGTTGTGGCATGCGGTAGGGAAGGGGGCCGTGTGGGGATTTTGTGAGAGGGCAGCAGGACAGAGAGTGGGGAGGGCCCCATCAGAGGCCCGGGTTCTGCAGCCCCCGCAGCCCCGAATGGGGTCTAGTTATTGTTCCTCTGTGTTCCTGGATTGGGAGTGTGCAGAATAACCCACAGGGCTGGGGGCTGGGTCTGGAGGCAGAGAAATGGGACCGGACCCCAGGGGAACTGTGATAGCTGTCCCTGCCCCCCCCCGTTCCTCTGGTCCCATTATGCTTCCTCATCCCCAGTCCAGCTCTGAGCAGGCTGTCCGCTAATCCCGTTTGGCTCCCTGGCATAACACAGGCTCCTTTGTTAGCACTCGTGCTGTTAAGTCGGGGGAAAGCCCTCAGGGCCCTACAAAGTGGACTGTCAGTGATGGCGGGTGACAGAGGCTCAGTTCAAAGGCTCCTGGAGCCCACCTGGATGCCTTCAGAAGCCTCTCTGTCCCACTCAGGAACTATCTTGGTGGGGTGAGGAGACACAGCAGCCTGACCCACCCCCCCGCCACCGGCCAACAGAGATGGGGGTGATGTGGTGCCCATTACAAAGTGAAGGCAGTCAGACCTCTCTGTGTGGCTCAGCCCCAGCACCGGAAGGTGGAAGCAGATGTAGGGGGGTGTCAATAGCCTTGACCTGGGGTGGGGATGGGGCTTGAAGAGCCAGGTACCCACAGAGGGAGACTTGGCCCAGCAGTGGGTGGGGCTTGGAGCCAGGAGGCTGCCGGCTCAACATTTTCTCTGCACTTCAGGTCTCCCATGAGTTTGCCATCAACTTCAACCCTACCAACCCCTTCTGCTCGGGTGAGTGCTAAGCCCACCTGCGTCTGCGCTGGGCAAAGGGAGGGGCAGAGTATAGGTTTTGTCTTTTTCTCCCTTCCCCTCCCCCTCATGCTTGCTCATAATGACAGATGGGGAAGAGCTGGAGGTTGGAGTCAGGTGGTCCTGGATTCAAGGCCAGCTGCTGCCCTTTCCTGGCTGTGTGACCTTGGAGAGATCACTGCACCTCTCTGGGCCTCTGCCTCCTCACCTGCCCCAGGGAGTATGATACCTGCTTAGCTCACCTCACTGGGTGGTCAGGTGAGAATTAAGGGACGCGTTGACAGGAAGCCCTGTGTAGAACAGGACGAGGTGAGGGCGGCAAATTATATACCTGCCTCTCGCCTCCCACCTGCCCTTGCTGGGAGAACCCAGCCCTAACCCCACCCTGCTCCCCCTGCCTTCCACAAAGAGCCTTGGCACCCAAGGACTGAGGGTTGCCAGAGGGGAGGGGGAGAGAAAGGGGCAGGCAGTGAGTGTGGTGCCTGTGTTCACCCCTGCCCCCTTGACCTAAGAGAATTTCTGAGCCTCCAGAATCATTTGAGAAACTATTGGAGGAGGAAGGGGGCCCCAGGTGGGTATGGAAGAGGGTGGTCCCTGCCATCATGAGACCTTCCAGCCTAGGATCTGGCTTGGGTATAGCATCTGCCTTCCCTGGGGGTTCCCAAAGCTGGGCCCAGTTTGTACTTGGAAGGGAAAGGTGTCAAGTCACCAACTTGCAAACGATGCTGTGACTCAGAAGCCATGGGCATCTATCTGTTGGCTAAAAATGTAGCCCTCTGCTCTTCCTGGGCTCTGCCTCGT